TGACTTTCTGAAGGTAGGGTACATCATTTAGGACAACCTTTTTGACATTGTGCGACAATATTGACACCGCTTTCAAGATGGTTGATCTTGTCATTGACTTCTTGATAATGAGCTGTTGAAGTTTGGGACAACGGACATCAACAGATGTCAAACGCTCACCATTATCAAATATAGTAATGTTTTCAAGTGATGGAGTAGAAATTTGATCAAGTCGTAAAGTTGGCCAGTACACCTCAAGCTCTAACACCTTGATATCTGGATTTTTTATCAAGAGACCAATAAGTTCAGCCTGGATGAGTGCATGGCATCTTCTGACTTTCATCTCATGCAAGAAGCTTGCTGAAATTCCTCTGAAGTTGTGCACTTCAACACATAGTGAGAGATACAGAGTTCTTAACCCTGGTGCCTCAATGTTCAGTTCCCCAACAGATGTGCATGCATTCATGGTTAGTTTTTTCAGGCATGGAAATACAAGATGAAACTTTGAAAAATCCCCTACTTGGAAAAGCTCAACTTCCTGCAATGATTTAGAGTTTAACTGCAGAAGATGCCGAGATGGAAGACCATAAATTTGATCACTGCCATAACCAAATTTTCTCAGTCCTTTTAATTTCTTCACCGCATCTTGCAGATCGGTACACTCCATTTTTACCCTTTCCAGCAAAAGACAAGTTATGTGGTGACTGTACTTGGAAGACACAACACCTTTAATTGTGGCTACAGAATCTGCCTTGATAACTGAAAATTGCAAGCCAAAGTTTTTCACTTGTGGAAAATTTTCTACTGTGTACTGCAAATCATCATGGTTGAAGAGCCCATCTGATGTTAAGGAGGCCTCCAAAAATACATTCCTGAGGGATTTTGGACATCTTAACATTCTGAGTAGCTTTTTCGACCACACCATTCCAGTTATTTCAAGGCTAGTCAAAGCTGTCAGAGAAGAAACATGAGCGAGCAGCATCTCAGTGAACAATTCGTGGCATTTCTGTAGTCGAATGACTTTCAAAAGATACCCAAATCTTTTAAGAATGTTTCGGAACCTCACGAGGGTTAAGTTCTCGTAGCTGCAGTTTCTGAAATTCGCCAGTGTAATGTTTTGCCAAAGAGCAGGATCGGGGTTTGAAAAGATAAGTTCTCGCCACTTCTTACATACTAAACTTAGAGATAAGAGATCGTCGGAAACAGGATTTAAGTTCTTTAAAATAGCCAACCACAGTTCCGAAGGTAACGAGGTATGAAATGCATCTGAAAGACGGTAGTTTTCCAGCTCAAGTGAAGTCATGCTTTCAGCTGTTTTGCACACTTGCCGGGAAACTTAAGACGTTTCGTAAAAGCCAACAGCCGTTTCATCGTTTATCTTTAAGAAGAAGAAGACAAAAATTTTAGCAATTACATGGAGCTGCCTTGTAATAGATTGGTTTTCCTTCGTCTTACTGACCTTTCATTCATCATGATACCGCCATGTTTATGTAGTGGCCTCGTTTGAAAAACACTAAAAACTCACTTTCCAGGACAGGCTGAGTAGGAACTTCCATACCGAATTTCCAGATGTTCAAATGAAACTTCTGAATTATAGAGGTTACGCCGGAACTCCTTCCATTATTTAGAATAAATTACCAAATTTTCATGTCATGTTTTAAAGAAGAAATATAATGATTCCTGCTTAAAAGTTAGTATCCCCACCCTCCGTACCCTGTTTACCACCTTTTCGCGCGGCAGGCGGGAGTTCCAAACTACTGAATCCGCCATATTTTTTCTTAAACATAAGTGTGAATACTTATTTGATTTCAGGGGGCGATGTTTCGTTCTTCCTTCGTGGAAGATACTTCCAACCCATGGTCACCGTCTTCTACGTACATCAATGTTGGCTCCTTGCAAAATATTGTGAATTTTGCCGAAAAGACGGGCCATATTGATAGAGTAAGCGAAAGTACTTTTAACAATCTGCCGAAGCTTAGTTTTAAGCCTATTTTCCGCGTTACCGTACGATTAAAAACAAATGTATAGCGGCCAAAAATAACGGGAAAGAGAAGAACATTACTATTTTCAAACTCCTATGACTTAATTGTCACAGGAACAGATAAACCTTTTCATTTAATTGTTGGTTTTTATGTTGCCTATCAAAAGTTTTAAGTTCATCTTATCGTTTCAATTTTACTATTTATTTTATGAGCAGAAAAATGTTGACATTGAAGGAATTCGTCGAAGAGTTGAGATGACATCTCCTTCAGTGTCTTTAATTAGATTACTGAGAGAAATCACAAGACTTGGCAAAGCTCTAGACAAGGTAATTTGACTACTGACTTTACCTAAAACAGTTATTTTCAGGACTTCTCTTGTTTGGATGACCAGACTGCATGATCATGTCTTACTCCTTAGTTCAAACTAGTTACTGTACAAGTAAACTGTTGCTTTGACCTGTCTTTATAACATACCACTGGAACTCTCAGCCTGATGTGTCCTAATAACCCATAAACTCCCAGAGCTGATTAACATGTACCTTCTCTCTATAATATCTATACATTATCAACCAAGCTGGTAATGAGAATATTCAAAGATGTCAGGAAGAAGTTATAATCTTGATCTAACACCAAATTCTTGTATGTTATTAACCAGAAATTAGGTAGCATCAAGAGGGGAGAATTAACAATCAGATCTTGGAAGTTATAGGGTTAAACCTAAAAAGCCCCAGTGTACTCTTTGAATTTCTTTTATCACTTAAATTTTAGGTAAATCTAGAAATTCAGTGCCATTTGAAAGATGCTGAAACAAGGGACATAACTCATGTTGATTTACTTGGTAAGTTAACTTTGACCATAACTTAAATGATTTTCTAATTTTGGTCATTAAAAGTACATCATGTACAAGATAAGGTTAAAGGTTATTGTAAGGCTTTGTAACAATTCTGCGTATATTGTGAATGCTTTATTTGCTTCATAATTTTATATGCTTTTGTTGATTGTGCAGGAAGTAAGTGTCAACAGCTAGAGCAGTTATCTAATCAGCTGTCTGCTATTATTGAGAAAAAGGATGAGCTTATTTCAAGATTGCAACAGCCTTTTGTAGGAGAATTCCTGGAAATAGATGCTGCACATCACAAGTAAGAATTCAAAGAAGCTTTCTTTTGGCTAAGGGAAATCTTGAAGGCTTCATGTTGTTAAAGTGGAGGGTCAAAATTGAAAAGACAGTCAAAAATTTACTCAGTGTGCAAGATAATTGAATCTCCCAGGCTTTGATTTGTTTGAAATTTGTCCTTTAACTTTTTGACTTGCCTAGACTCTCAAGTGGTCTTGTCAAGCTTCAAAGATTTCTTGATATTCACTCTGTTCTTTCCACTGTTCATTTAATTTATTTGATACCTCAAGCTCATTACACTGTTTATTGTTTACTTCAGGAACACAGCTGAGGTTCTGCCTATGATTGCATCTAATTTAGCAAACTTTCCAACTCTGCTGGAGAACATGATGTGGATAAAGAACTTTTCACTTGCAGATGGTCAATTGGTTGGTACAATTTTTTGTCATTTAAATTCAACTTTTGGCATATTATGATTCAGATCTTTCTATTAATGCAATTTTCTTTAGTGTACATAATTCTACATCTGTTTTTTTTTTAAATCAAATTAGTGACTTGCATCCATTTGACTTGAATATGTGTCTAAAAGTTTGATCTATGTCAGAGTTAACCTGATTTAACAGTTCAAAGCGACAGTCTTGCTACAAAAATTATCTTGGTGTGACCTTATTTTTTTTCATTATTTGTTACAGTATTTTATTTTATCAGCTATCAGAATTGGTATATTTCATGATATATGATCTTAAATTAGAGTGAAAAATCAGTATTAGCTTAAAAATTCAAAAAGGTTAACTTTTTAAGCAACCTTATACTTTGGTCACTCTATTCTTGAAGTTTTGCAACAGGCCCCACAACACTGCGATTAGTTTAAATCCTTGACTCTGTGATAAGTAATAAACTGTTGAGTGAAACGAAAACTTGCTAGTATGTTCCCAAGAAATAGGTGAAAATCTTCTTTTGAAAAGAACGTTAACTCTTTGAAATACCTCCCCATTTATGTATATTCAACCATCATCTATTTCTAGCTTACTGTCCTGTCTCATATTGAATCATCATTTGCTGAAATTCAAAGTTTCTACCAAGCATTGTGCCAGGGTCGTAATCTCATGTCACACCTACAGGATGAACATGGCAAACAAAGGGACTTAGCATAAACAAATGAATCTGTACACTCCACTATAGAACTATGAAAAAATGGATTGAGACAATGTGGATTAACATGTATTGGTGGGAAGAATTTATTTTTGATAGAGAGCAAGTAAATAAACAGAAAATGAACCAACCTTTAATCCCTTAGGGACAACATTTAATGGGTACAAAAAATGATATACATATATTGCCAGCAAACACAGCCATATATACTTCAAAAGAGTGGAGCTACTTGAAGTTTAACGTGTTTTAAACTAAAATGAGGAAAATTTTGAAATGCTTTAAATGAGCAAACAAGATAAACAAACAGACAAACAACACACTCAAAGTCTCAAGAAATTTTCTGTAAGCATATAACTGGTGGCACTCGCCAGATAGACACAGTGTGATTTTTTTTCAATGGCCACAAGGTACAAATAGATTCTATCATGTTTGCCTCTTATTAGCGAGAGAGATCAGGGAAAATTAAGGAACTCAGACAGGAAGTCAGGTGTATAAATGTTCAAAATATATTAACTTATGATTGTATGCTCATTATCTGAAAATCCCAGTATTAAAACGAAATACCCTCTAAGCTACATCACGTTGTAATTTGTTCCAATCGGCTACGATTGAAGCTTCCCAAACTGCCACTGGGAAGACTATGAAAAATTACATATTTCTGCCTCTTTTGATACGCCGGTTTTAACAACTGCAACGGTCGTATCAATTGGCGAAATTTCTCTATCTCAAAGGTTAATCTTTTAATTTCAAAGTATATCTTTCAAACAAAGGGAAATTAATTCTGCAAGGATGTTAATTAATCGGTTTTTGTTGATCCTTCGATGTTTCTTAACTTTTTTTGCTATGTGACCGTAATTTATTCCATAGAGGACAATAAATTGAATCTTAGAGCTCACAGATGAATTAAAATATCATGAAATGTATTTGATTCCTTCCCTAACTTCTTTGCTACAGAAGTCAGAACATGATCTGCCTCGTGCTCAGACTTCTCTCAGCTGAAAACCCCGTGGGCGCACAAAGGAGTAAGGAAATGCGTAGTCCTCCGTGCTTCGCGCTCATCACCAGCTGCTGGCACTTCGCGCTCATTCCTCTGAGTCTGCGCGGAAGTAGAGGCGTAGACTGAGTCAAAATGTTTTACTTGGTCGCCCAGAGAACGAATGCTTTGATCACGCCCGGCTAAATAAACGGCATTTTGCACGGTTGATATGAGGACTCTTGAAAACGTCCGTGCACAGTGATTAAAAGATTTGTGCTGGTCCACATAGCCAAAGGAACTGCATTTACTATAGCCACCAGGGTGTGTCTTTTCCATCTTTTTCGCCAAACAGCCATGACAGCCATGTTCTGATAATGAGTCACAATCGCAAGAGATACGCTGGTGAAAAACCACTCAATCACCAGCTGAACTAAAGTCCGAACGGTAAAAGACTGCAGCAATTCTAAAACAGACACATTTTCTAAATAGACAAATTTGTACAAGTACAAAAATCCGTTAACAGACACTATAGCAGTTGATTCATACAACATGCTCGTGATGCTAAGATCAGCCATCAATCTCTCTTGGCGAGGCGTGCGAAAACTTCCCCAAGGAGCTAATTTTCTTTTCAAAATAACATGACAAACGTGATCGATGACAACCATGGTACTTCGTTCTATGACTTCTGCTGCACCGTGAATTATTCCAAGGATGGCCATGGATTGTAAGCTCTTAAGATCAGCTTGCAAAACTCGAAGCATGACGGCTGTGCCAAGGTACAGCGGCGACAGCAATACATAGTAATATCCTGGATGTGTAATGTTCCATGATCGTTGTACATGAATTCGCGAAATGACCTTCAGTGCGACCCCAGTGAGAGGTGTGAAGACAGCTATCAATAGTTTTTCGTCTTCGTTTTATTCGTTGAACAGTGGGTAAATGAAAGCAGCTATGACAATAGCGAATACGAAACAGAAACAGCCAGGCATTATCATCTGTAAAAACAGACTCACTCTAAGTCTCCTTGATCGGAAGCAGAAGTGCTTTGTTAAGAAGTAAACTTGCAAGCATATGCTGATAAGAAACAAAGTGTTCAGTGGAATCGTTAGGAATACGGAGAGTCTGGAATTAGATATTCCTAAAGCTTGTAGAGCCACGCGATAGAGTGCGTCTAAAAAGTAAACAAGAATGGAAACCAGAACAAGTTTTCCTTTCACTCCTAGTAACTGATATGGCCGAAAGAGAAAGAACATCCTCGCAAAGTTCCACATGTAAAGAAAAGCAAATGAAATTAGTGTAGATAATGTTCTCACCCACTGCACTGAGACTGGAATTTTGTGGGGATAAAATTCACAGTTGTGGGCGGTTTTGTAACAAAGATAGGAGATTGACATGTAAAGCAAGCCGATGATGGCCGCTGTTAGCAGAGAAATCGAAGCTCCAGTGTACATTGATTTCAAAACTGTGCAAAGAGCAGATGGTCTGAGTTGCTTCCAAGACATTGCGCTGTCCTCATCTTGTCCACTTTCTTGTTTTTCTTCGATTTCGTCTGGTGAACATGCATTTATAACCAATACTTGATGGCGGCTGACTGTGAGAGGGTCAGAGGTTCTGACTTCCCTGTCGCTATATTCCTGATAAATAAACTCATCAACAGGTTGATAGTCCCACTCTAGACCTGTTCTTTGTAGAGGAAGGTA